AACAGAGACACACTGCTGGTTGAAGTTCAATATTTAATCTGCTGTTCAACAGTGTAAGAGAGAGACAATTGGCGACAAGTCAGTCTGGAGCATGTGTCTGAAGTCTGAGATAATATTTTATACTATCTGTCACTCAAAGTAAACATTTATTTCATAATGCAGCACTAGACATTTGTTTATGACGTGATTCTCATGTAAGTTGCCATTAACCTGTACCATCACATTTAGCATTTCTGAGCAGGAAACACTGATATTAGAAAACCAGAAACAAAGCTTATTTTGTATTAACTGTTGTACATCTCAAGAGCAAAGATTAATTTTACACCATATATTGGCCTGCACACATTGGATCCAATTTAGGATTTAACTGAAATTGTTCAAAATGGTATATCTAAAGAGTCTGCAGCATAATTAATAAAATATATTTCTAATAAATACACATGTCATTTACTTCAAATTCCATAAAACACCAACTATCAAAGAAAAAATAGCACTTGCGTACTATCTATTAATTTATATTTAGGATAAAAGCAGGCCAATTAAGACAATATTCCCTGACAGGTTGAAAAAAATGTAATAAATGATGAACCTACTGTTTCATTAACTCTTTGGCACTCTATTCTCACACACATACTTGTGGTACTGTTATTGCCGCAGTCAAACAATTATTATGCACATTAATCTCTCCATCTTCATCCTGGTTGCTTCCAAGTCACTCAATTTGCTTTCCTCAGCAGGATGAGGGTTTTGCTGAGTCACTGCAGCTGGCAACATCACCAGCCAACACACTCACTAAGACAAACACATTCACACTTCAGCTCCAGTGCACCCTAATGCTTTATTTGTTTTTAAGAGCCTTTCACACTAGTAGATCGTTTGCTTTGCACTTGCTCTCATAGTTGGTTTGATACATAACACATACATGAAGGTAGACGCAGGTACTGCACAATAGAGAGGGGTGTTTGTATATGTTATGTTTATATTTGTCTCTCTGGACCAACCATCTTATGTAGAGAGCGAGCAGATTGGCCCGCTGCTCTGCTTGCATGGCTCTGTTCACTCTGCCATAAAACATATCCATATTCATTAGCCAGAGATTTGCTGCTCTGCAGACCAAACACTGCAGGCTTCTTTCCTGCACATTGCCAGTTTGCTTGTTTATTCATTTGTTTGTATAACTGAAACGGGGCTAAATTGAGAGAGACCAGAGCATGTTTTGTTAATGCTCATGGGAATGTGTAACTAGGCATTTAAAATGTGTGGGTGGAAGTGTTTTTTGTTAAAGTATTTTTCTTTCAGCGATGTGTTGCTCAACAGTCAAATGCGAGCGAGGAGTCAGAGACACTGTTGGTACTGCATCATCAGATCAGCAGCCAGAGTCATCTGCTGTATCTGTGGCATATAACCTTGACCCCAGTGCACCCCACTGCTTCAACTTGCCTCCTTGCTAAGAATATAAGGCTGTTGCCATAGAGACTATTCCCCAAATAGCTGTAACCATAGAAACAGTTGTCGTCTCCTGGAGGGAATTATATAAAAAAAGCATTTTCACAAGATTTTTCATATATTTGTTTATATTCCAAGCATCAGTATTAAGACAAACAAATGCAGGAACTTATATATTTAACACTGCCATGAATTCATCTAAATCTATGTTTATTTCCAGGCAAACAACATGTAAGAATGGGAAAACTGTTATAGTTCCTGTATCACTTTAAATGACCTTTTAGGAAATACTTGAGCTGACTGCCTGAGAAGATGGCTGGATACAATTATTGATTATCAATGTTGAATTTTATCCAGGTCAGCATAATCTCACTCTATTGAGTGTTTTTTTCTCTAAAAACTCACCCAATGGGATATTATAAATCGAATCAGCCACTCTATGAAATTGTTTTGCGTCTGGAAGCTTCTTTTCACAAGGGACTGTTTGGACCATCTGTGACCATGGCTTTTAACAAGGAGAAATGAGGCTTCAGTGCTGGACAGGTCATTTTGCCTGTGTCCGTCTCTGAATGCTTGATAGTGCAAAGAACAAATGTATAATGTGAGCATGTGAGATAGAATTGAATTGAAAAAACTAGGTTATTATCTAAATTCAACCATATTCTGAATTTCCTCTCCATCACCAAATGATTTCATTGCAATACCTTTGTTCAAATCACAGATGGAAAAAGAAAAAAGTAAAAACACACACACATTAATACCCCCAAGACAATGAATTCACATTTATTTTTAAGAAAGAAAACTTTATTAGTGATTTATTAACAAAACACATTACCACTGTATCCATTTAGGTTAAAAATAAAAAAAGTCTGAAAATAAATGAATGAAATGAAATTCACTACTTCACTGTCACAGTTGATGAGCAGGTGTACAAAAAAAAAAAGGTTTTACAACAGATCATGGCTAGTCCATTTAGGACAGCACATTGCCACCATAGTTCACCACCAAACATTGGGAAAGAATGACAGCATGAACTCACTAAACACAAGCATACACTACATATACCTTTTTATACACTGGAATATTTTTTTCAGTCATTTTTTTTTTTTTAAGAGTGAAAGGGAAGTGATAGCTCATCATAGGATCATACATATTTCAGTTACAATATTACAGTGTTAGTTAGATCGTCATGTCAAAGCTGGACACAAAGAGTGATTTTTTTTCTTTTCTTTTTTACTAACTTTGCTTGTTTTCAAAAGCAAAAATCATAGTTGGTAAAACAAAAATAACAAACTTGCGTTGAAAGGTCTCACACTATAGCATTTACAAATATCTGAAGAGGTTTTGTGGATGCCGTACAACATCGGTGGAGCGTGAAGATTGTAGTACATAGATGTTTGGCAGAGACAGAAGTACATACAAATATCTCCTGTGCGAGTAATGCAGAAAAGTGATAATACAAAATAATAAAATCATAGCCATCTATCTATTTATATATATATTTCTCTATATAGTATGTGTTTCCTTAGAGCAGTACATGCAGCAGCCACTTAATGGTGTGACGTCATACTGAGCCGCAAAACTTTGGGGACGTGGCAACAAGTTACAGGCAGGGGAGGGGAACCAACAGAAGCAGGTCTTGAGGCATGGGTGAGCCCCTTTTTCAAAACCTCCTGAGAGAGGATTGGTGGGATATAGCCATGGGATGGGAATCCCTAGATGCCCACTTTTAAGTAGTTTTCAATTACTAATGCAGAGACAATCTATGAAGAGTCTATGCTATACGTTTACAATGTAGATAAAAGCTAATATGTGATTCAATGATCCTAAACAATCAATTTGGAGGACAACTTTCTTTTCTTGTACACAGAGATGGAGGGCCAGCCCACGGCACCCTTCTCCTCACTTTATCCCAGTCCTCCATCCCAGTATAATGCTTCATCCCACCTGCTCCCCTCTCATCAGTGGCAACACACAGGGAATTAACAGTGTACTGTTGTATGCAAGTTAAAAGCACTGAACCGTTGTGTACTTAGAGAGACATCTGACAAGAGTTCAGGGCATATACCCACGACTGGGCTTCCCCAGGCCACATCCACATTACTCCATGCTGTTCTCAGCACACCACAATGTTCAGAGCAGGCCATTCCCAGGATCAATCCTGAGCAGGGGTCAGAGCGGGGGCTGGGGGCAGTGTCTGAGGGTAATAATGGGCATGACACGCATAAAGCAGTTAAAGCTTAAAAGGAAGAAAATAAATAATGTAGGAGTATGTAATCTCTTTAGAGAAAAAATGAAAAACAGAATAAGTTCATAAACTTCATCATCACATGAAGAGGCAGCCAGTGGGATGGGTGACCGTGGAGAAGAAAAAGGCAGCTGGGGGAGGTGACGACGGCTCGTGGCAGCTTGGGGCAAGTACAAGCAAGTGAGCAGTTGTAAACTCAAGGTATCAGGTAAGGACTGGTTGCTACCAAACATTCAAAGCAGAAAGCATTAGGCTTTTGCTGCGGCAGGGGGAGAAGAGAAGGTGTTGTCAAAATCTCAAGACTCCTAAGATTCTGTAATGTTTCATAAGAGTCCACTGACTTTAAGCGGAGTCAGAAGCCAGCTCAGCAGGACTCTCCCCTCCGTGATCCTCAGGAGAGTGTGAGATATCCTTCCATTTCTCAATATTTCAGGTACTCTGCATTCCTCAGTTGGAGTTCTGGTATGAGATGAAGCTCTCTGTGTCATTCAAATGCAGCGAGGAAATACAGAGTGGTTGCAAAGGATTCTGCTTCCATCCGGAGAGAGTCCATGTGCACATGCGCACCGCATAGGCGACAGTGCAGGGCAAAAAGCTTGTCTACTTTTAAGCACATTTATTTGATGTCAGTGGATTTACTCTCCTTTTTTATTTCTCTCTCTAGTTCTCAAGTGCTTTCCTTGTCTACTTTGCCATGGTAAGTATGTGTATTTATGTTTGAATGTGTGAGCATGCGTATGTGTGCATGTGGTTTCATAAAGATCTCAGGAAACACTGTTGGTATCTATCAGAGGAATCTGCAGCAGTGTCATGTAAGCCTTAGTTTCAGTGACTCTCCTGTGCTATTTACAAGTAGTGTGTGTCCAGCTCCAGATGGCATGCATCTGCTCCAATCTTCTTTGACGCTTTCTCTCTTTTCCTTGGCTGGCACAGAGCTTTTTGTTGTTCTTGTACAAAGTATTTGTCTTCTCTCAGAGAGAATGGTTTACACATCAGTTGGGGAGGGGGTAAGACAGAGGTGCCAACGTGCCCAGTGGGTTAAAGGATAACAAAGATCAAGACGAGGGCAAAGAGTTGTCATTCCTTATTGGAAGAGATGACTGACATGAGTTGACTCAGGGTATGTAGGCACATAGGGGCGTGGAGCAAAATCAATCATTTTATTGTTATCAAGGCAAGATCAATGATGTACCTTCAGTAAGGGACTGATGGTAAAATACATCTTGGTAAGGCCAGGTTGTTTAGAATCTTATCAGTGAAATTAGGTAATAAAATTAAATTGGAAAATCTAAAATAGTTTTCGCATTTTCTCTTTACCCAGTGGACTTTGGTTGGTACCTCTGTTTTAACAGCGCCCTTTTCTTCTTTATTAGTTACTCTTTCTGCTCCTCTACTCATCTCCATCATCCTTCCCCTTATCCTTCTTGTCTTTCTTCTCCTTCTTCTTCTTCTTCTTCTTCTTGGCCTCCTCTTTTTTTCCAAAGGTGATGAAATCGCTCTTGTCGTCCTCTCCTCCCTGGTTCTGTCTGATGGATATGATGGCGGGCGATCCAGGGATGATGAAGGCTTCTGGGGGAACATCGCCAGGTTTCAGGTGCTGCGGGGGTCCACCAGGACAGCCGGGGGGGCCATAGCGAAAGTGCCAGCTGTTGCTGTCTACGCCAGCACCCATTGGGGGGGAAACTTCTCCCCCTTCAGCATCTGAAAGAAACAGAGATGGAGGATGGGTTATTTAAAAAAAAATCTATTTGCTTTAAACAGATTAGGTATAACAAATGACCAATGGTTATGATTTGTATAGACTCCTTGATACATGAAAAGCTGAATCCTTCAAACAAACTGGGGAAGATTGACATGTACTAAGCCTTTCGCATTACATGTGATGCATTCTGCAGCACAAATTGCCCATCATCTGACAGGTTTTGTTTGTGCGTTCAAAAATGAAGTGGAAGATTTAATAAATATTTAGAGGAGGTATCATACGGAAGGTTTATAGAACACATTCAGCTAGATTTCCCAAACATTTGTCCAATTTACAGTTTCAGTTTAATGTGGAAATAGATCTGTTTCTAAGTGCAGCTGCAAAATGTGAGGTGTTCATAGTAAAGATTGTGACGTCTAATGAGCTCACAACTTCTGTTTTGTAAAAATGTACACACATTGTATGTGTTTATGAATGGCTATAGTACAATCTTTTTTCTTTAAATAAACGAACATTTAGCTCAGTTTCCTGTATATTTAAAGATAGCTCGATTTCAAGTTTTTGTTGCTGAGCTGCTGTGGCACAAAAGAAAATAGGTCCCTATGTCTCCTCTTTTTAAATTCACAAGATATACGGTATACTTAATGACTCCTACTGCATTATCTCCAAATACCTTTTTATAAATAATATCTTTCATGGTCTATAAGTATCTCTCTTTGGCATAAATACATTTTTATTTCTGCATTTGAGATCTGCACCTTTTGAGCTCACATCCTGTGGTTGTTTCATGCATTAGTGGCTGGCCATAAAAAAAGCACCTTTCAGGACTACTGTATTTGCTCTACTTTGGAGAGTTCACTGATGCCCTGCAACCACTGTAAAAAACGAATCAGTCTATGAGTGGCATTCCTTGAGGGAACGGCCATGACATGCTATAAAAAGCGGGAGGTGGTTGTAATTAATGGGAGGTCTCCAAGAAGAAACTGCTAAGTGGGCAATAAATCAAAGACTCCCTCCTAGTCCGAGCTAACATCCATGGCACTCTATGATGAAACAGTAGACACTTAGTCATTATTTTAAAGAATTAGATTGGTGGTTAAGTATTTTTGAGGAATTCAACGTCAGTGTCTTGCCAAAGATGAAGGAAAAGCGCACACAAACCCAACATATTGGTATTCAGTGGCAGGTGTAGATGGTTTAGTCTATAAATAAACTAATCAAAGTCTCCCAGCTAAAATAATGTCACTTTGTTTCTTTCCTCACAGCAATGACCTACTTGCCACGCTTGCCTCACATATTTATTTTATTTCTCAGACGTTTTTTCTGAGTTCTTTCCAAAGGGAAGATTAACTAAGCAGGGCTCCATCCAACCAGAAGGAACACATGTCTCTAAGAAGAAGCCTGACCTCATGCAGTACCCAGGGCAGAGAATACCATCTTCAAATCTTGTCTATGTATGGTTTCAGCTTTATTTATGCTGCCTCTCTTAAACTAAATAAACCGTGTCATCTTAAATATAGTGGGTCATTGAGAATGCAAACGGTAGTTAAAGCAATAGGGACCGGTTGATATAAATCATCCATTACATCACTGAGACCAACAAGAGTCTCATATGAAGTTCTTATGTTTGTGTTGGGCTGTTACTGTGCTGCTTTTCATTGGTATATAAATGCAAGATGATGACTGATCAAAACTGATTTTGCCATTGGTCTCTAGCATTTATAAAGCTTTACTTGTACAATAGTGGTATTCATTATTTAACTTTGTCAAATATAATGTGTACAAATGTCTGCCATTTTAGTGTTTACTTTTAGTCAATTTAAAACGTAATCTTCGAACTGGTTTTTCAATATTTTAGCATTTTAATTTACAAGCTCTCAGTAAGATTTGCTCTCCGAGTAATCCATGGCAAACATGACATCTCCTGCTGGCATACAATCCAGATCACAGAGGCATGCAACACTGTTAAGCCTTTCTTTGCTTCTTAGGTCGAATTAGACAACGGCGAAGAAACAATTATTTAAAATGCTTGAAGTTGAATATATACAAAATAATGTCTGAATTAGAGCATAGATTATAAATTGATTAACAAATAACACTGCACTAAACTGCTCTGGGATTTGTGATGAGCACTTCCCCCTATTTTCTCACATTTGATAGACTAACCAATTACCCAATTATTGATAGATTCATTGAGAGGTTGCTCAATAATTCACATGTGTAGTTGCTGTCCTAGTCTGAGTTTCCATTTTCAATATCATGTTTAATTCTCTCAGATTCGTTTTTTTAAAGTCAGACAGGGACCAGAGTGAGATTTGCATGGTTTATACATTTGAATTGTTTCACATCACTTTCCCCAAAGATTCTCATACTTTCACTGACTGTGACAAATCAACTGCAAGAGCAGCAGTGAGAAAAATGAATTTGACAATGCGATTGAGGAGATTAGGAGAGGACAGGCCCGGTCCAGTCACTGCTTCCTAACCATTTACTTACAAGGCGAGTCTTCCCCCAGTTGATAAGTCCTATTTGCACTCCCCAAGCAGAAACATGACCCTAATTCTATAATCTCAAAAGGAAGGCAGGAACATAAGAAAAAGGAGCACAATAATACTAAATACAAAAACTGGAGTGCTGGCAATGCATTTCTCTGAACTATCCACGCTCTTTTTTGGAAGAAAATGACCTTCCTAACTCAATGCGGGAACTCGATGAGACCCAAGTCCCCCGATGCAAACTTATATATCCAAACAAAACAACACCCCGGAGAGTGATGAGTCATGGGAAGAGCAGAGCAAAAAGGGCAGGGCAGTGTATTTCTGTTGAAAGGGTCAATGTCTGATGCTGAAGTCAAATCATGGGACACACTGATGTCTGGTTCAACTGAAAAGGTCACATCATAATACTCTTTGATGCAGTGGGAGGTTTATAAAGTACTTTTTATATAATCAGAACATTTAGTTTTGATGCGATTTGCTCAGTAATGCCAGCTATACAGTCCCTCAATAAACAACACTTGTGTATCTAACTCCTTATACTGCATGTCTGTTCTCACTGTATTTGCTCCCTGTCTTTTCTCTGTGTCTTTTCCTTCTCGGCGGTAACAGATACACCTCGCCCAACTGTGATCTCCACAGAGCCATTGCTCCATTCTGATTTGTCGATGGCTGTTGCAGAGCAAAACTTCTTCACTTCTCTCCTCCCTGTTCATCTTTCACAACCTCCCTTTCTCTATTCCGCTCATTTCCTCTGACCTTTCAATTAATCTTGCGTGAAAACTCAGCCAGCAAACACCCGTCCCTCCCAGTTATTGACAAGTCTTAATCATGACTATCAATGTTTATGGTAACATTAATGTGATCGGGTATTAAACAGCTTGTCCATCAGTGATAATTACCCACATTAGAGACTAGGATGGGTTGTTTTTTCATAGTGATGCCCCCAGCTCTATTACTCTCTCCATGCATCAGTAACTAGCAGCATCTGAAACCCTCTGTATTTAAAATGCAAGAACGACTCAAAAGCCACTGCAATCAATATGTTAGCATTACAGAAGGATATTTTCTACATATTTATCTTTGCACTCTTCAATTCCAACATCTCTGCGTGTGAATGTCCGATCGCTCCCATATTGCAGCCCAAGCTTTTCACAGCCATTTACATCACCCAAGCTCCATTTTGCCACATCTACTTTATTCATCCCCTTGTCTCGCCCTACCATCGGCCAGTTGGGCAGAAGCGCAATGGAGCGCAGTGAAACGTTACATAACTGGCTGAGGAGGAGGAGGAGGAGGAGGAAGAAGAGGGGCCGGAAAGTGCAGGTATACAGATATGAACATGATGCTCAAAACCAAACCGCAGGGTGGGGGGAGGGAAAAAGATTAAAGGATCCTGAAGGAGGGTTTTTTCTTTCACACTGCAGTGGTAGAGAAATATGTGATTGTTATGATAGCAAACAGTTAGCTGAGACCACACCCTTCTATAAAATAGCCCCTGTGTTTGTCTGTGTGCTGTGCAGTTAGTGTATCTGGTGGTAGAAACAAAATGTGATTTTGCGTCTGCTCTGAACCTAATTCTTATTCATGTGTCTGTGTTTCCACTGCTATGCCTGGTTGTGATATATAAAAAAAGTGCCTGCATGAATTACCATATATTCCTTAGCAGTGAAATACAAAAAGAAACACTGTGATGGGTAGTTTTACAATAATGATGGCTGTATGTGGTTTTTCGAAGTGTCCGCTGCAAATTCATTGTA